TCCTATGAACCTAGACTCTAATAAGATTATCAAAAATAGCGTTCCTCATTTTCACCCATTTATGGATCTACCCTGTCATACATCCATAAAATATGCATATGATTCAAATACTTTACCAATCTTTCTTATAGCATAGAATGGGCAATACTGCTTTGGTGTTAAGATGTTTCTATTACTTATGACAGCTCTAAGGCTTTTATTGAGAAAGATTCCAGAAAGGCGGACACTACAGCTAGGTAATTCCATATGAAAGGCAATGTGCTATGTAAATTTGACAATTAACTTTAGAAAAAATAGTAATGCTTTATATTTTCATGCTTATTTATATTTTTTAAAGGGATATTGAAAACATAGTATCATTTAGTCATCACAACAACCTGTAAAGGCAAAACAAATATTACTTATTCCTGTTTTGTAAATGACAAAATTGAGGCTCAGAAAGACTGAATTTCTTGACAAAGTCAGAAGGCTCAATGACAGAACAGGAACCAGAACCTAGTCTTCCAACTTCTGCTCCAATATACACAAAGCATTTGGCATGCTATCTAGCACACAGTAAGTACCCAAATAATGTTAGGTATGACTATCATGACAAAGATAAAGAGAAGAAATATGCTCACAGAAAAAAGTGAATAAACTAATGGCAATAATTGCCAAATTTGTGAAGACAGGTAGAAGAGGCACATCAAATCGTAGACACTGATAAACCAGTAGAGAGGTTCAAAGTAGGTTCCTACCTACTACTGACAAAAAACAACAGCAGCAATAATAATAATTGCAGCAGCATCTAACATCCATGACATACTTGCTATGTGCCAAGCACTGCACCAGGTGCTTTAGATTCAGTTATTCTTCATTTAATATTTGAAGCAATTTTAAGTCAGAAGTACTGTTATTATCTCCATTCCACAGAGGAGGACACTGACGTATAGCTAAATTAAATGATGAACCCACGGTGTCAAACTAAGTTAAGTGACAAAGTCTGGATTCTTAATCAGGTAACTATCCCACTGCCTATGGATCACTGTGTCTAACTTTCCCAAGACACTCAATAGAAGACAAAGCAATCTAAACTTATGGGAAAAGTTAGATGCAACTGAATTCCATAAGATAACAGCGTTTGAACCACTGACTTTTGAAAGAAAAAGACAGAAGAAAAAAAGAAAGAAAGGGAAGGATAGGAAAACAGTGAGGAAGAAGTTGAGATTTCTGACTCATTCCTCTCTGGGGGCTTACTGACTGCCCTGAGAATCCGAAGAAACCTATGGACCTATCCCTAGAAAAATGTATGCACATATAAAATTGAACATATATTTTCTTGATGTTCACCAGATTAAGAAGCTCTCTCCCTATATTGTGTAGGTATTTGAAATTATCTTAAGCACAAAAATAAAAATTTCTTTTTGGTGTCTACTCCTCCTGAAATAACATGTTCTTATATTTATAACTAAAGGAAAATTAAATAAATAACCCACTCAATTTATCAATTAGTGTACCTTAGTATTTAATTTTTTTAATGTAATATGAACTACCAAATGTATAAACTGGTTTGTTTTTTAGTAATTTTATTTTACCCTAATAGTAATACATGCTGAATTCAGAAAATATAAGAGAAAGAAACAGAGACACATAATGCCACCACTCAGAAACACCAATGGCAAACTTTACTCTTTATTTTATTCCTTTAAGTACTTATACATGGATTAAGTCAATGAATCATCAGAATAAGCCTATATAGTATTATTAACTCCATTTTATAGATGAAAGTTATATAACACCTAAGTACCATTATACAGAAATTATAACTGTTTGCATTGTGTCATTTTTGTTTCAGATACTTTTAATACAATAAAACACTTCAAACAAAGTTTAAGTTCTCTTTGTTTCCTTCCCCCATCTCATTCCCTCTTCCTGTTTCCAGAAGTACATATCATGAATTTGGTATATATCCTTCCAGGCTATGTTTCTTTTATTACATACATATGAAATCATAAGTAGGTCTGAGGGAAAGATCAGTTCATTTTGGAAAGTATAAATTGGGGATATTTAGGGCCGGCCTGGTGGCGCACTGGATAAGTGCGCCGCTTGGGAAGCGTGGCGGCGCTCCCGCCCGAGGGTTCAGATCCCACATACAGACCAGTTCCCGCTCACTGGCTTAGCGAAGCGCGGGAGCAACGCCGAGGGTTGCGATCCCGTTGCCAGTCCCCGGTCCAGTACGGGGGCAA